CACACATTCCAGGAATCTCCAGGATGGTCCCACTCTGCTGTGCTGTATTTCCAGCAGATGTCTGGGAAGTTAAAGTCTCCCACAAGAACAAGGGCAAGTGATTGTGAGATTTCTCCTAAATGCCTATAGAATATTTCATCAACCTCTCTGTCCTGGGTGGGTGGCCTATAGTAGACTCCTACTACAACATCTGCCCTGTTGGCCTGGTACATGCTGTGTCCTGTAGTTCACCAGCAGCCAGGAGGATGGTTCTCAACAAGTGACTTGGAGACTGAGGCTGGAGACTTGCTTCTTAGTGCCAATGGTTTGTCTTCTGATGGGCTGACTTGCTTCTACTTTGGGCCCTTTCATCTGATTGCATTTGAGACTTTCTTGGTCCCATCTTGTAGACAGTGTCTTCCAGGTTTGAGACAGCTTCCCTCAGGCCTTACCAAGTCTGGTTTCTTTTTCATAAACACATGACTGAACTAGGCAAGAATTAGTCTTTGAAAAGCATGAAATGCAACCTAGAGGCTAAATCATAGTCGAGAGTTCATGCCTCTCTCCCTCCTCCAAGACATGGAAGAATATCTGTTCTAATGAAGTGTTAGGAAGGACCAGGAATCTTCCCAGCATCTGCAGAGACACTGGAGTGGGAGCATCCAGCAGCAAACACAGATGCAAATCTTATAAAACATCGGTGTAAATGTATATTAGCAGCTCACTGACATTTTTACTGAATTGAATCCTGAATCGTCTATCCAAACACTGACTTAGATTGAAACAGTAATATTATTAGCCTAATACGGATTTTGAGCTGTGTAATTGAGACTGTATTTGAATTACATAATAATTTTATTGTTGCTATGACATAGCGTAGGAGGTGCAATTACAGCACCGTGTATCAATAGATCTGTTGAAAAGGCCTTCACTCCATTAGATTTATTCTGAATGTCTAATCTTAAAGTGCTATTCTCCAGGTTCATTGTAACTTGTTTAAGAAAAAAATCACCAAAGAAATATAGAGTGGGACACTTCCACTAAAAATGGATGTTGCTGTGCAAGCTGCAGTTGAGCACAAGGCGTCCTAGCTTGGTTTCAAACACTTGGCATTTGTTTATGGTTTGATGGTAGGATTTCGTGCTGTGTCTTGTGGGGGAAGGACTGTGGAATTAACCTTTCAGAAACTGCCTGTTGCCAAAGTGGGAGATCATTTCAGGTTCATCCACCAACTCACAGCTGTGAAAGTTGCCAGGTTATGACTTCCTTTTATTTACCTGCTGATTGTTCTTTAGAGGGCAGTACAGCTGATCAAGCAAAATGCCCAAGAAGTGTGCTTGGAAGGCTGGGAAAAGAGGGATCCAACACCTAAGTGGATCAGCAGGGACCAAAACGAGCAGCAGGTTAGGGGGGAACTGTGCTGCCATCCTGGGGAGGCAAGCTCTGGTATTTGTGCAGCAGGTGATGTCCATGTTAGAGTTGGACCTTGGGTGTTCAGCATGGCTCAAGGCCTTCATCAGGTTGAGGAGATGCTTCAGGGTGACCCCTGGGATTCATTTGAAGATGATTTTGCCTTGGGTAGGGACCTTTTCAAGAATGCTAATCCTTGACAGGCTCAAGCAATGAGGTCCCATCAATTTTTGGCAAGCTCTTGGGTGTCTCCTTTGTATTTTTCACATGAAGATAGAGAGGAAGAGATGGAAAATAATCCAGTGTGTTTTCTGACAGCTGCCACTGGGATTACTTGTGCAAAGAGTGGTGTGACGTTTCAGTTATGGAGAGCATCTTCATTGTTGTCACCAGTTTCTAGGCATCTTTCCTGTAGGTAGGGGCAGTACTCCTGTGCAAGTTTTAATCATTGCTGGGATGAGAGACCACGTGGCCGTTGCCCCTCCCCCACCCGCACTGGTCAGACTGGAAGTCAGACACAGACCCCGGCTAAAATAACAAGAAATTTAATACAACAGAGTGATAGAACAATCTGAACAACAACAGTATCAATGGTAACAACAATAAACAGCAATAACAGTGAACAAGACAAACGATATACAGAGAAATACCGCTAGCTGGTTTATGGAAAGCAAAATTCCCTCCCGAACCCGCCAAGGAACAAGGAAAAGGTTCTGCCCATGGACCTGACGCCAGCATGGTATGAATAACCCGGCTGGAGATCCCTTCCCCCTCTCTCTCTGCTGGGGAAAACTTTACTCTGTCCTGGCTGAACCAGGACAACTCCCATACACTGTCTTACCTTGGCATGGGGAGAAATAGATGTGTTGATTGGGGAAGCTGTCTGTGAGCCCCTTTGATCTTCCAAATCAAACAAAATCCCTGCCCTGAAAACCTCAATTTTTAATAGCTTCATACTGAACTCAAAGCCTGGGGACCGATGTCAAAAAATGTGAATTCCTCTGTGATGGAGCTGTCCCTGGAGACTGTTACAGTTTGCCGCTTGTCCATTCAGATGGACATTCCTTGAAAAAAAGAGCTCCCTGCTATTGTTTCTAAGCCTGAAACTCAGGATGGGGATAAACAATGGTTCACCAGGTTTTGAACATTCTGAAGGATTCATATAATATTTGAGGGAGATGTAAGGTCTCTGAAGGATCCAAAGAAAGTTTGGCCAGCATTGGTCATGCTTTCATAGCAGAGGACAGTAGTAGGCTCAGCCACAAGGAAGAAACATTTCAGAGAAGAGAGGGAAGTTCCGTACTGGAGCTGGTACCACAGGAAAAGGAGTTTTCGAGACCACTGAGGAAATTCAGAGAGAAAAATGTATAATGCTACCTAGTTGTTTTATCTAGTTCTCTATTTTGTGTGCTGCCTAAATAGTGGTTGGTTTGTATGACTCTGAGTAAAGTCTGTTTAATTCTACTCTTTTGTATCCCTTTATTGCAAGAGTGTGCCTAAAAGTTGGGGCCTTGGGGAAGAGCAGGGTGTAGATTACAGGTGAATGTAGGCAGTGAGTGTGCAACTGGTGGGATATGGTACTGTTTCCACAGCAGGATCTGAAAGGCTTCATGAAGAAAAACACTGGAGTGGAGAAAGTTGGGAGTGCTGGACCCTGGACTGAGCAGGGAGCACCAGGAGGAGACCAGGTGGGATGGTGTGGCGTGTGGTGGCTGTCAGGGGGACAGAGCAGAACCAACGTTGCCCTTGGGTGTCCTCATGATAAGTCTACGGGCTTTGTCCAGCTGCTGCACAGATGTGTTTGTGCACTGGGACCATGGAGGAAAGAGGAGTGTGGCTGATGCTTCCAAAGTACACAACCAAACCAAAAATATTATCTAAGATGGAAGTAACTATGTGTGATAGATCTGTTTCTGTTTTCTGAAGAGTGGTGTTGCTGCTAGTTTCTGTCCTTCATTGTCAGCAGTGGGACAATCCTTGTTTAGGGTCATCTGAACAGGGATCTGAAAGGAGCTGTGGGCTGTGGCAACACCAGGAGTTGTGCCCATGTGAAAACGGGGGCCCATCTGAAAACAGGGGGCCTTGCATGTGAAAAAGGTGTTTCAGCTTGGAAGCAACAAGTAAGATCTTGCAGATTCTTCCAGTCTGAAACTTGAAAGCTACTGGCAGAAATTTTAAGTGCTGACAGAAGTGGTCAGGTTTTACGTGATCAGGCCAACAAAACCATGAGATTTCTCCCATCCCCCTGGAACGGCAAAGATTCAAGCTGTTGTATGGTAGAGATGTACTTGTAGGTCTGTGCAGCTTGGATATAGTCTGCAGCTGAGGGTGTGGTAGGCTCCTTTGAAACCTCACTAGATGGAGAGGAAGCACTCACTAGTCACGGAGAGTCATGGTGATCTTTATTTTCAGGTTAGGGAGGGTATCTATCACCTTGTTGTTACTGCCTTCAGGATGCTGTGAAGAAACTCATGTTGTGATCATATGTGGGGATCCCTTTAGGGGCTTCCCATACCCTGCACCTCTGGCTTCCTCATCCTACTTAAGTAGGAGGCATTTTATCTGCTTTCATAGTCACTTTTTTTCTGCTTGCAGCTCCCAGTTTTAAAGGAATTAAAAATCTGTGTGTGTACCTAGAGCCTTGCTGTCTATGCATCCTCCAGGGTGAAAAGCCTTTATGTTATCCAAGAATCAGTTAAACTGTGTTACTCAGTTTGGTTCAACATCTCCTGTAATGATCTCCCATACGGATGCCTGGTAACAATAGGAGGGATTGTGCTTGGACATTGAGATGCTGATACTCCCAACATTGGATTCAGTGTACTGTTTTTTCTTGTTTAACTCCCTGTGGCCAGGAGGGAAGGGTGGTGTGTCAAAGACGACACTTGGAAGCCAGCTATGTGCGTTGTGTGAGACCCAGAGTGGAGCCTCTGAAAGCCCAGTCCCAAGTGCACCAAGCTGGGGGATGAAATTCCCTTGATCTCTTTGGGCAGATGTCTGAGGGCGAGATCTGCAGCTCTTCTTAACTTCTATAGAGCAGAAGCAGATGCTCAACCTTTCTTCTGAAGTGGGGCTTTGAACATTCTGTGCTTGTTTCTCCATGTTGTAACAGTGGAAGAATACCGGTCTTTTACCAGTGGATACCAGCCAGATATCAGATATCTCATCATCTGGAAAAGCTTGATGGAATATTTTCGTTATTTATCAGCATGGTGTTGAACAAAACTTGTGATTACATGCCTCACTGAAAACAGGAACTAATTCAAATCCGATCCATGCAGCTGGCTAGGAATATGTCAAATGAAACTATCGTTTCTATATTAATTGTGCGAAAACCCGTGTTATGTGACAGGTTGGTTTGATAATGGAAGAAAACTTGATAAAGCCTTTATTTTGTTTCTGAATGCTGGCATATTCTTTTCTAGTGCCTGAAGGGAGTAACTAGCAATTGAAGTAAAGTTCAGCTAACTTTTCTTTGTTTCTTTGGAGGTTGCACTTAATATTCTTTGCCCATTTTTAGTCCCACCGGTATTATCTGGAAAATGCAGAGAAACTGATGCCCTGTCTTCTTAAGCGCAAAAGTAACTCAGTTTTGCAATGTGTGTTGGCAGTGTTCATACATCCCCCCCTGCGCAAGAGATGATCAGGAGAACTCTGAGAACGTCACATACAAGCAGAAATACTGGAAAGAGAAAGTGGGTTCACAACCATTTACATGCTATTTTAACCAACACTTGAGGTGAGTAATCTATATTTGCATAGGCGGATGTGCTTATGCATCTGTTTAACAGCTGTCCATCGGTTCTGTTTGAAAATATATATAAATGCATGCGTATGTATATACATGGACACCCATATAAAGATGTGATTTATCACACAGAGTTTAGTGCAGAACTGTGCAAGTCAACTCTGTTGATGAAAAGCTACATAGAAAGCACAGAAGTGTTTTTACCTCTTGAAATAAAAATTTAAAACTCTGGAAAAAAGTTTCCATTTAAAAATATCATTTTATGGAAAAAAAAGCTTCTTGTCTTTTAACACTCAGATGACGAAGTTCTGGCTTGGATATTAATGTTCCTTCCCTCCATGGAAGAGAAATCCTGCTGTGTTCATTAGGGGCTGGAAGCAAAGGGGAGATCAGGAAATAGTATAAATCAACTCAGGAGTTGTGTTCATAGAGGATTAATGAATCAGATACATGTAATAAATGCTCACAGGACTGCCAGTTTTCATCCATGCTTGCGGAGTAGAAAGTTTTAACTTAAAGGATCTCCTCTTCTGTTACAATTCTTACTTTTACTACCAATGTTGATGTGACTTACATGTGTATAAGGGTGACGTGTGATTTCCTTCCTTCAGTAAATGGGAAGAGGAGGAAGTCCTTCTGCCTGTCCCTTTCTGCTGACGATGTGCCAGAAAATAAAAGGTGATGTGGCATCAGCGAGTTACTGTTACCACAGTGTGCAGGCTTGCTGGGAGGACTTGTGAGAACAGCAACAATTGGAATGATAGGATCGTGTAGGCAGGGAGGTGGAAAGAGAATATTTAAGAGCTCTAGATCAGCCAAGGTTTTATGGGGTTTAGACTTCAATTCTGGAGGCATATGATACTTGCTTAATTTAATCAGCATGAGTAATTTTGGTAGAGCTGTGGAGACTACTCTTGGTTGCTGAGTTAAGCACTCATCTGCCACATCAGGGACTAAAGGAGGAGGTTGGTACTACCCTACCAGCACTTAGAAGTTAAACAGATGAGGGACACCTAGGTGGGAATAGCTCGTTGCTCGCTTGTGCAGTTCAGAGCTCTGTATGGGAGTGTTGGCATTAGATATTTCAGTTTATTAAGACACACAGGAGGAAAATGGATGCCAGTTTGGGCTAGGACCTTGGCAGAACAGGGGAGCTGGAGCAGGGTGTCAGACAGAGATGCCTGACTCTCCTGTGGGTGACCTGCTGAGTGCCTTGGGAGCTTCAGGTTTGTCCTAGGCTGGCTATGATTGTTGTCCCCTCTCTGGAAAGACTGTAGACCTAGTTGGCATGCCCAGGATGACAGTCTGTTGTCCCTGGTTAAGTCTTTGCAGAGGGAAACCACCAGTGCTTCGTAGCAAAAACTAGTTGTTTCTTACAGTGAGGAAAGAAGCAGTCTGCAGCATGTGGAGGTTAAAACTTAGGGCACCCTGTGCAGTGACATCAGACCTGGCAGGGACCTTCTTGGGAGCTGCTTTGGTCCACGAGGTGTCAATACTGGGGTCTGCTAACAAGGAGGCAAGTGATGATTTTTGGCTCCTCTGGGCAGGCAGCTGCTGCCAGTTCCCCACATTGCTGAGATTTGGGAACTGCAGCAGCCACTGCCTGAGTGAGCAGGATAGTCAGAAACATGGGATCTTCTGCAGGAGGCATCATGGCTAGGATTCATCTGAGCTGTTATGGACAAGATGCTGTGAATATTAGCTTTTAGGGTCAGTGGAGAGAAATGGGGGCCTTTCATCTTACCCCAAAATAAATGCCTAAAATAGGTCGGATGCCCAGAGTTGTTTATTTCTCTCCTGTAAAGGAGTTTAGGGTGATATGCTTGAGTGCAGGCACCTAGGTGATAGGTGTCCAGAGCTAGATGAGTTGGTTCTCACATCACATCTGTAGGTGAAGCAAAGGCAAAATTTTCTGAATCTGCATACTGCCTAAGGTCTGCCATTTATATAGGTTGACACTGAGAAATTGTGCTTTCCTTAGAGTTGCTGCATCCTATACTGATAAATGTTCTTGCCAGATGCAACGGCTGCCTTGAAATGCTGCCTTTTGCTGATCATACAACAATCTATATAAAGCAGAAGAAAGGCTCACTGCCAGAGATACTTGAAGATAGTCTAAACTGAAATATGTACACCATCTATTTTCTTCTGGAGATAGGAATCAGCGTTGAGAGTAAGTTCTGCTGACTAGGAATGTGCTTGCTTAGGTATACTTTTAGAGCTATGATGACTAAACAGCTTGTGAAGCAGTAAAAAAAAATACAAACCGAGGGAAAAATCTGTTCACTTCAAAATAGAAGTGTGCAAATTTTCTATCAGTATTTTTTTTTTAACTGAGTGACTGAGCTAACTCTTCAGTGTCAGTCTGTATAAAACGCAGAATATAGTGTTAGGTTCCTTAGAGAGAGTAGCATTTGCAACATTAATGCTCTCTCTTTTGAAACGTCAGAATAAAATTCTAGGTTAATATCTATGCAATGAATGAACATCATCTCCTCTTCATCAAACTTAATTTAGCATCATTCCCAGAATTGTTGCTGCATGCAGAGCGTACTGTTAGGTAACACCTTCCTTCAGTTTGGTGAGGCACATTTCAACAGGCTGATTTGAAAAGAAGGTGCCATTTGTACAGTTCAAAGTTATACAAAAGGGTTGAGAAGCAGACTTGGCAATTTCAGTCCCTCTTGGTTAATACAGAGGCCGAGCATAACTAACTTGTCTGACATTTTATTTTAGAGAACCAACACCCAGCTTAGCTTGGAGCGCAGAGTTTTACTGAAAAGCAAGATTTTGCTTTGTCACTGCAGGCACTTACCTTTAGGGTCCCACTCTGGCTAGTTTTGGGCCAGTGGGTGCAAGCTGCACGGGAAAGTTGGTTTTCTGGACCTCTGGTGAAGGTGCCTGTCTGTTGTGATGGTACTCCCGTCTGAAGGGAGCCCTGCCCAGCAGAAACCAACCCCTGGTGTTTCAGAGCACAAAATAGATTGCAAATTCAGATAAAGTTCTCAGGCTGTTGCCAAAGGATTGAGAAGTCACTGAGCTCTAGTGCTTCAGTGTTCATGGATCTCACGCTGAGTGTCCCAGGGGATCTATAGTCATGGACGCATGCAAACAGGGATCACAGCTGCATGCCCTAAAGTGGGAGGCCTGTGGGAGCGGGTGGGATGGGGGAGATCCTGTCACTTTATTTCTTCACGTTCCAGGTCTCAAAAAGAGAGAAACCAAGATCTCCATGAGCTCAGACCCCTCAGTCTCATGCCATGCAGAAATAGGCAGAACACCATATGTCAAGTCATTTCTTATTAGTGGCTCATTTATGTGGTGTGACTGCTTTTTAGCCCTGGGTACATCCAAGTATGGCAAGAACGCTCTGTGGTTCCTTTGCTGCAGTGCAGCAGATGAGCCAGCCATGCTTTATACTTTACACTTCCTTGTGTTTGCTGCAGGATGGTGTACACAAATTCACCTGAGATTTGAAGAGCAAACACTGTCTAGTGATTAGTGACCACCTGTACAGTGTTGGGATACCCTGCAGACTATTTATCTGAGAATAATTTACCTGCAGAAGCCAAGGGTGCTCAGGCTGCTAATTCATAAATGGTGGAACAGAAATCTTGGTTTGCTCTTATACTTCACAAAGTTTTCTGAATTAGTTCCCTCCGCTGAGAAGCTAGTGTTGCTATTTCCTATCCTTTCTTTTACTGTATCCCCTCTGAAGCAGTGCTCGGGCCAAGAGGGAAAGGACTTTACTGTCAGCGTGCAGCCATCCAGTGGAGGTTCTCTGCTTCTTGAAACAACAGGGGAAAAAAATACTGATGAGTGCTTGTCACAGTGAAGGGACGTGAATAATTGTGGGCAAAATATGTGTATGCAGATTGCAAACATCTTTACACACAGATTGTTTGAATACAAAAAATATTTGTAAGGTTTCTTATGCCATGCCCCCACCTCTGTCAGCTTTTGCTGTGTCACATAAATTGCACAGTGTGGTGCACAAGTGATGACTGGAATGTTTGCATGCCTGTAACTTTTTGGTCCTACCTGACTTTTTGGTAACCCCTGCACTGCAGTTCTTCCCGTGATGTTCAGTAATTGCTCTGAAGGCTCTGAGGGAGGCCTGCTGTTTGAACTGCTTGGAAGCCTCTAACAGGGATGTGTTGCATAATGCAACAAACTAATGCAGTTACTTCTGGTCAGAGCCCCACAAGGCTTCAGCCCTGAGTTCAAAGTCCTGATAAAAATAAGTACTGGTCTCACCTTTTAGCAATGAAAACAAAATTCCTCCCTCCTTGTCTTTCCAGTGAAAAGGGAAAGTTGTTTTTTTCAGAGTTAGAGACTTCTTTAGGGCTTTTTTTGTTTGTTTTTTTCACTCTTTCACCCTGGGGCTGCTGCTGTGCAGTGGTGGTGGTGCTGTACAGTGGCCACCACTGTTACAGCAGAACCAGGTCTAGATGCTTGAACAGGGCTTGAAAGTATTTTTTTTTTTCCACATTTTGTCCCACTAGGTCTCTCCCTTGTCCCTGCCACTGTTTTGTACACTGGTAACTGGTATTAGAGTTTGGGTATATCCCCTCGAGAGGTTTTTACTGGAGAGCTGAATGGCAGCATTGCTAGAAACAAGAGATGGTCCATAACTGAGCTTAGGGGAAATATGTGCAAACCCTCTGGTCAACATCTCTGGAAGTCACAGAGCAAAGATGGGTTTATTAAATGCACTATACTTGCAGGGACAAGGCAATATCTTTAACTATATCTGCTGATTTTCACAGGGAAAAGAAGACACATTTTCAAGCATGACATACCTGCTCTGTGTTCAGCACTGCTGCCTGAGCACCACTGGAGTGGTGCTGTGGGGGCTTCCAGCAAAGCTGCATCCTTATCATGAGAGGGTTTCCCTCGGGGATGGGGGCACTTTCCCTTTTCTGTTTCCAAGCGAAACAACAAACCTTCAAACTTTGGGAACAGGCAGGTCACCTATACAAAAGTAGCAA